TCTTTCTTTCTTTCTTTCTCTCTCTCTCTCTCTCTCTCTCTCTTTCTTTCTTTCTTTCTTTCTTTCTTTCTTTCTTCCAACCTTTTTCCTTTCCACATCCAAACTAATGAACAACCACCACCAACAAAAAAACACTAATATATAAGTTTTGTTGTTGTTGTTATAGTCTTGGGCTAATCCTTGAGATCTTAGACTAAAAAAAAAAAAATCAAGATTAATGTTTTGCCTCCTCACTGTGGTTGAGATATAGAGTATGAGAGAATTAAAAAAAGAATGTTTGCCTCTTGGTATATTTTGAAAAACCTTATTTTTTTCTAATATGAAATAATTTTTTTGGTGTGTGTTTGTGTATATGATCTGGTTAAAAACCAATACCTAGAAGCCAAATTGTAAAACACTAAATTGTAGAGAGCATATGAAATTGAATGCAAACATAGGAAATATCAAATGAACCATAATGTAATTTCCTCAGACATCTCCTAAGACATGTCACACTCCTGAAGTGAGGTATGGAGGGAGGGAGGTATTTGCAAATTGTTGTCATCCCAAACAAGAAGAGAATATTTAAGAAGAAAAAAATTCTGGAGACTCACAAATTCTACATTATTCCCCCTTTGTTTCCTGTGATGTAGATGCCTTATTGGAGGAATTGGAACGCTCCACCCTCCAGGACAGTGATGAATATTCAAACCCAATTTCTTGTCACCTGGATCAGCAATCCAAACAGGAGAGCAAACTTCCCCAAACTCCAAAGACCTTGTCATCTCAGAGTCACACAAGTCCCTTGAAGGTAACATTTCATCTGTTGTAGTATTTTAGACAATATGTGACTACACTTCTGAAAATTAATTGTATCCCACATAAAATTATATTAAAGGAGAAGCATATATTCAGAACAGAAAAAAGTATCATTTCAATATTAATTTAAAAATAGTTGCTTTTGGAAAGAGGAGAATTGAGAAAATTACTGTAGAGTATGCCTTTGAAATGTTTTTCTTCTAGTGAAGGCTATTGGCTCATCCATGCTGGCTACTGTTATGTTGCTTCCTGGCTACCAGAGGTGGCATGTTAGAGTGTGACCAGAGTCATACCCAGTAAGATCAGGGATCACCTGGTAGTTTAGACAAGTCTTTTGGGGGGACTATACAGCTGTTACTTCATTAGTCTTACTGCTGAATAGATTCAGAAATTGTTTTCATCCAGCTAGAGATTGTAAAGCTCTTAGCAGCCACCATGAAGAAACTAAATCCACCAGAGGTGACTATTTTAAAGCCCAGAAATCTGATGTGTTAATTTAGGATTAAGTGTTAAAACTATCAAGTATATATTTGCTGAGATGTGTATTCTCTCTCTTTTTTTTTTTTGGATCAGTATGCACAAACCTTTATTATAATTAATGCTTGCTTAATGAGAACGTAGTTAGTACAAGAGACACTGGGTGGATGTTCTTCACATCTGGTATTTATGAACTGTGATGTTCTGATTCATTCTTGAGTACTCATAAAGAATTAATATTCCAGACTTTGAATTTGAATGCAGGAATAGGTAGTTTCTAACTTCTCCTCAGATTGCTTATCTGACTCTCTACTAGAGAGTAGTTGTTGAAATTCTTAAACTACAGTCATAGCATCGTAATGTTCTCCTGCATAGATATCTGTACTTTATTATTACATAGCAGCCTCATAGAGCCTTGACTTAAGACAGACCATGACATTCTTCTACCCTCACTCTGGTGGTGTTTCCCATCTCATTTGCAGTAGAAGCCCCAATGTTGCACTGAGCTTTGTAGATGACCACATCCTTGTTTACCTGTAAGAGACCTGAGCTTTTGCTTATTTTCCTGACATCTCATTGATTTCCTTTCATGTAATATTTTCAATTGTTTTTGAAGTTTTATTATTAGTATTTGCATTAATATATTAATATGATTATGAGTAACTCCAAAAGGTGACTAATAATGACTCTTCCTGATCTTGTTCAGACAAAATCCCAGTAATCACCCTTTCATGACAGTATTGAGGGAGATGACTAAGAAGTCTAAGAGTGGAAATGTGAGCTAACTCCTCAGGTCTTGGATGGGAGCAGAAGAAATCTGCTGGCCAGTTGATATGCTGCCAGTCACACCCTGCTATGGTCAAGTGATGCGTACATGGAACCTCTGGGATCAGAAAGTAATAAGGAAATCACGATTAATGACATAAAGATGATGCTCAGGAAATAGAATTTAGTATTCTTGTCATCACAAATACTATATTATGAGTGTTATTAAAGCATTTTGTATTTGTAAATTTCTAATTGTTTTATTTTGTTAGCACTAAAGAAATCTTAATATTAATCTTTTGTCAGTTGGCTTAAAGCAAAACAGAAACAAAATCTTGAGGTTTGATTTTCTCAAGGCAGTTATGAGGACTGGTAATTTGCACAAAGCATCTTTTAATGTTTTCCAGTCACCAGAGAGAATGAGGAGAGATATTACTGTCCCTTTAAGAATCAGGAGACATCAAAGAAGTGAAGAAGAATTAGCATGTACTTTAGATTTAGTACTAATCTAAAAAGCATGTTCCTGAAGATGACAGTTCATACATAGCTGTAGGAAATGTATTTGCAGATCACTGTGAAATACACATTTCCACTAGCAAACCACCCTTGCAAACATTTTTTTTTTTTTGCTGATTTTCAATTTTGCATTTGCATCTGCAGATAAGTAAAGTGGAAGGAGTAGCGTTGAAAACAATCAAATAATATCAGTCTTAAATCACTGTCATCAGAGGTGTCAGAAAAATAGTATTCCAACTCTATTTTTCATCCAATATACAGCATCAAAATAAAACTCCTGGAAGTTAATTTTCCTGTTAAAGAGAAAACAAACAACATTAGTCAGTACAGTGAGTTGAAAAAGTATTGAAGATAGCAAAATCTTCTGGTAAGAATAAGAAAACAGACTGTTAGTGGAACACAGATAGCATCATGGTAATATGTTCTTACCAACTTAAATCTAACAGAGCAGAAATGAATTTGGAGTTGATTGTGAAGTACACAGAATTCTTGACTTGATCAAAACAAACAGCAGCATTCTGCCCATCAAAACTAAAATTATCAAGACTGACAAATGTCATGCTAATCATGTTTTTTCTAGGAGTGACATGAAAAACAAAGCAATATCTAAGCATGGCATATTAATTTTCTTTACGTGTTGGCTCTTGTTCTCTGGGTTTTGGAAATGTTCTATCCTCATTTCATAAAGCTTAGATTGCACTGTGTGCAAAATCAGCTGGAGAGCTGTAATCAAATTATTCAATCAATATAGAATGAAAAAGTGCTTCTTAACAATCTGCAATCATATACAATTGAGTTTAACAAAAGGAAGTGGCTCCAATTTTTTTCCCAGAAAATAACAAGAGATGAGAGCTCATATAGCTTAATTGCTTAATTTGAAATGTGCTTCTAAAATTTCTTGACTTTGATGGATTTTTGACTTTATTTTATTGGATAAATTTATAAACCAAAATGTAATAAAATTATAGAAGTTAATGATTTTGCTCTTACCCATCCCTTACAAAATGTTAAAAAGAATTACAAATAGAGACGACTTCAAAATTTGGGCTTATTAGAATATTAATGGAGAAAGATGCTGTGAATGGAGGTGGCTAAGAGAAGACACATGGGAATATTGTCTTAGACAAAGGAGAAGAGAGAAAGCCTGGGAGCGGGTAAGAATAAAGAGAGGTAATGGGAAGGAAAGAAAACAAATATTGCATTTTATGTCATATATATCTTTGATGTATTCTATATATGATATAAAGACAAAAGAGAGACTTGTAGAGTGGAATTAACCAGAGGGTGAAGGGGACACAAGGAGGTGGTGGGAAGGTAAATACAAGCACAGTACATTAATATACTTGCATGAAAATCCCTAATGAAGTCCACTATTTTGTGCACTAAGAAAATTAATTAAAAGAAGATATTTTCCTGAATTTATTCATACATTTTAGTAGAGAAAAAGAATTGAGAATATGTTCCACCGAGCAGAATGTGCCCTGAACATTCAGGTTCATCAGCATTAAGATCACATCTCTACTAAAAGCACTATGGCCTAGAGAAAAGCCCAAGTTAAAGATAACAGCAATCTCAAATCTAATAACCACAAAATGTAGCTTTGGAGAACATTACAAATTCAAAAAATTACAGCACTATATATTTAAAAAACTCAGCATTTTAAAGGAAAATTCCTAAATTAAAATGTTAGAGCCAACAATAACCACATTACCGATTAAAGTATGTGACTATATGTTGAGAGTTGTTTCCTTATGCTGTTTTAAATGTGTAAGTAATAAAAAGAACACTAAAGAAGTTTCCCATCATGTATATAGCTATGTGTTGTTTTAAATTATTTTGGAGAAATCTGTGTAGAAAATAAATTTCTTCAGTTATGGTGGCTTGCATTTGTTATCCCGTGGCACATCGAGGAGAACAAGAACTTCAAGGCTAGCTTCAGCTACATAGAAAGTTGATGCTGGCCTGGGCTACATGAGACTCTGCCTCAAAAAAAAAAAAATAAGAAAAAGAGATTTTGAGCAAAATTATTGTTATTTCTATTGTGATTATTTTGAGACAGTTACCATGTAACTCAGGCTTGCCTCAAGCTTGTCATCTTGCCTCAGTTTTTCAGGTGCTGTGGTTAAAGGCATTGAAGGCGTGAACCACCACATTCTTACCTTGATTAGAATTATTTTATAGGTCTACCAATACAATACAATGAAGTTGTTTGGCTAGTAATATGTATTTTATTAGGGAACTGTGATACATATATTTGTAATATCAATACTGATGAAGATGAGGCAAGAGCTTGAGTTCTGGACTAGATTACTCTCTCTCTCTCTCTCTCTCTCTCTCTCTCTCTCTCTCTCTCTCTCTCTGTATGTTTCTTTCTCTCTTCTTTGTCCCCCCTCTAAAAATTTAAATGTCTTATTTTAAAGACCCCCCCTTTCCCTTGTAAGTATCTCCATTTGAGCTGAATAAATGTATGATTACTACTTGCAGATTTAGCCCCTCTGCCTGCTTCCTTGCACAGGCCACACAGGCCTCCTTGTTGGTCAACAGTCATTCCCATTCATTTCTTGCACATGATCTACATTACCCTGATACCTGATTGCTTTCCTTACTTCATGTAAGTCATTGCTCAAGTGTCATCTACTCAGTGAGGTTTTCCCCATCATTGCATTTATAACTGTTTCTATTGCCAAGTTTCTTAATTTCTACTCCTTGGTTAACTTTTATATCTACTTCTTGCTAATAAAATATAAGCTCTGGAGTACTCAGTTTATTTTTTTTCTTAAGTTGGGTCTCAAATAAGCTAGGCTGACTTTGAGCTCACTGTGTAGGGAAGGATAAGTTTGAATTTTTGATCCTGCCTCCAGCTCCCAACTGTTGGAGTAACAGGATTACACCACCATGCCAGGTTTATACAGTGCTAGGATTAGAACCCAGAGACTCATGGATGCTAGGCAAATACTCCTCCAACTGAAGCTACATCTTCATTCACCAGAATATTTGGCTTTAGTTTGCGGTTTGGATATAACATCCTAAGCCCTGGAATGTATTGGTTACTCAGTAAATATCTGTTCAGTGAATAAATAGATGAATTGCTGTCCAGCCAAATCTTTGGTTGACACATTATTACTTTTCATAAGGCAAGTTTATGTTCTAGCCTTCGCTAGGGACCATTGTGCTTAAAGGGCCTTCCCCTGAGCCACCATATTGTTTTATGCTTCCTATCTGAGGATGATATATACCTTTATATCTTTGTTTTTAAGGCAAGGAGGGTAGTACTTGTTCAGGTACCAACTTCTCTGTTTAGAATTTGTTTTTTTTTTTGTTTTTTCTGCATGATGGAAGGTTACTCTGCCTTTGGAAACATGTAAGCAATATACTAGTTATTTTTAAGCAATACACTAGTTATTGCTTTTATTGCTTATTATTGTTATTATTATTGTTGTTATTATTATTATTCTTTGCTTTGAGACAAGTTCTTAATGTTGTGCCCAGACTAATTTGATACTCATGCTTCTTTTTCCTCAGCCTCCCAAGTAGCTTGGATTACAAGTGTGCACCATCGTGCTATTCTAGTTATCCCCTTTGGAAGCTACAAACTTCTCTCACTCTCTATGTTGATAAGCACCAGTGTTCCAATACAGATGTCATTCTTTGCTCTTTTCTGTCACTTATGTCTTAGGTGCAGCTCGTGTATACGACCAATATCCAGGAGCCCAATGTCTACAGGTATGCTTTGGTTTCTAATAAATAATTTCAAATTTAAAAGTTAATTATTGTTAATAATTGCAGTAATTTGGTTTGTAAAAATTATTATTGGACTTCCTCCATATCTCTTCCCAGAGCCTTTGAACAGAGGCAGAACCCTTCTATGCTGACTTGGCAGCCTCCCAAGGTATCTTTCCTCCGGACAGCTGTCCAGGCTGGGGGCAGTGGGTTTATGTATTTTCCTTACCACCTGAAAGGACAAAAAGTTCCAGAGTTAGCACAGATGTTTTGGCATTTCAGTTCCAGGTATCATGCAACAGTGCTCAGAAGAGAAAACACACCTGAATAAACTTAAGCAAGGGTCCAGCAATGTCAATGCCAGGATCAGGGCTACAAGAAGACAACAAGGGTCCATCACAGACGAATGAGTGCATACTTGTACTTTCTAGGTCTGCTTGAAGTTTATGTGGTGGAAGAATATCCCTTTAGTAAAAGTTACACATGGAATAGATTCACTTGCTAAATCATTTCTCCTGGTCAAAGCAGAACCAGTAGTCTAAAACAGACAAGAAACAGAAAGGCCACCTCTTTCATGTCTCTCTCTTTAATCATAGCTTTCATTAAAAAAAAAATTAGGCTCTTTTTCAAGGATTTGTGCTTGGCACGGAGTGCTCCACTGCACTATCTCGTCTCAGAATCACGGCACATAGAGCACACATGGGAGGCTAAAACAGGGAAAGGACTTGAGGTACATGAAGTCATTTAAAAACTTCCCAGTTGAGGTCACTTTCTACTGAGGTGGGAGTGAAGCTAGTTTATTAATACACATTACCTATTTGTTCCAGCTCCAGGAAGTGGTGGGTGAATACTTCTTCATTGTCTTCACCCTCCTGTTGTAGTTAAAAAACAAACAATAAGAAAACAGTGACTGTACTCAAGAGGCCCTCAGCAAATATGTGTTTTCTTAAGATGTCAATAAGAAATACATGTGAATACTCAAATTGTAGTATGAAAACCAGTCCAAGCACCAGGCATTTTCTGGTATGTCTGGCATTGTGATCAATTATTCGATTGCGACACTATCTTATGGACAGCTCCCCCGCTACAGCATTGGGTCTCTGGCCTCCTTCCCTTTCTTTGTCCTGTGCTCTGTTAGTTAGGGCCAGGTCATTTTTGTAAAGGTCTTTCATTTACTTGTTTTTCTAGATTCTTACTCTCCCCAGGCTTATACCTGATTCTGCATATATAGGTCCACATTAACAGACCACCCCTCAGCACATACACACACCAGCCAGATGTCAGAGATAGCCTGACTACAAGCATAAATCGTGGAATGTTCATCAGTTAGGTGGTATAGAATCTCCCCTTTCCCTGAAATGTATAAGGGACTCTCACTTTGCCATTTGGACCTGAACTTTCCTCAGAGCTCCCACCACACTGCCTTCTGTCTGTCTATCTATGGCATTACTACTTCCTTTAGTAAATCTCATATCCAAAAAGCAGGCTATCTTGGGAACCCTCTTGAGCCCCAATTCCTAACTTTTCATGCTTTAGGGATCTAACCCTGGTGGTTGGATTTTTCAGGCTCCAGGACAGTTGGCTGTCGTGGGCTCTGACCAATAAGAAGTGCTAGAGATACTGGCAGTTGCAGAGTAGGACAGTGCAGGGCACTTGCCCTGGTCTTGGCCCTTGACTTTGCAGTGTTTCTATCAGCAGCTGCATCTCTGTCAGCTAGTGCACTGAACAGAGGCCCTGGGCTCTGATGAGGATGATCTCATGCATTTTGTCCTTTTAGCTTAGGGGTGGTGAAGACTTGCTGCTGCTGTAGGTTTCTGGTAATCCCATATGTCTTCTGTTTTGCTTATTAGTTCTCTCACCATCTGTATAATTGATTTTCTACATTAATTCCATTTGTTTACTCAAATTTGCTTATATTTTCTGGACTGGAATACTTTGGTATACTATCCATTACCAAGTCATACCTACAGTGAATATGTGTGTGGGAGGATGATATAAAATCCATCCATAACTATGTGGGACTTTTATAAGTTTCCATGGTGGCATTAACAGTGGCATGCCAACACAGAATGCTAAACTCAGAAACTAGATTCCTACATTGGTTTCCATCATATACTCTTGTTTGCATAAATGAGCTGCACATCGCTCTCAGTAATCCTTGAAAGTGTGCTTTGTAGCAACGCTGACTGCAGCACTGGGATATTTCTAACCGCTGTACATCAATAGCAATATGGCAGTAGTTTCTAAGTACATCTATTTCCTGAGCAAAAATAGCAGTTCTGATAGTAGGGAGGAACAGTTCACAAAATATAACAATTAAACAAAGGAAAACTCAGCACAATGAAGCTCCTTTGTTGGGAAGTGTACATTCTGTACATTCTTTCAAATATGTTTGTGTTGTGATCTGTATTATTAAAATCTTCAAATCACAAAGCAGCTTGTAGCTCATGACAAAACATTTTTCCTATGTTTAAAAGGCCAGGGACAGATCAGATGTCTCTAATGTGAAGTTTCTTTCTTTTCAAGAATATTTCCTATAATGGGCTTCTAATTTGTGACTCTCAGCTCTTCAAGTTTGCATTTCCTGTGTAGATTAGTATTTTGCTGAGTCAGCTGATGTTAGAGACTCTTGACAATGGTCCCTTCTATTTCTATGCTATATGCATTGACTCTAGTTGAAAAGAGTGTGGGCATTTTTTTAAACATGAACAAATTTTCTCCAACTGTAAGGTGAGGAGGCTTTATGAATAAGGAGGCCCATATGAAAATCTACATTTGGAGCTGGGGAGATAGCTTAGCTGGTAAAGTGCCTGCTGTGCAAGCACAAGACTAGAGCTTGAGCCCTGGAAGCTGTGGAGGGGGATTTTTCATACTGTTCTAGGCCTTGCTTCTTAAGTTTAACAACATATGCTAGAATTACTTCTCAATTTATCTAAGTCTATATGTACATTTTTTAGCAATTACATGCTATTCTGTAAAATGGATGAACCATAATTTATTTGGCTAAAACACTATTTAGTTTACTTTTTATTTGCTCAAGAACCCTGTATTGTATTGAACTTCCTTTGTTATACCTCTCTCCTGCTATGTATGTATATATGTACATATATATCCCTAATTTTTCTTTTTGTCTTTGAATTAATTTTAAGTTAGCATATGTATTTGCTACTTTTCTGCTGCTGTGATAAAATACAAGGCAACTTATGGAAGAAAGAATTCATTTGGGCTTACGGTTCTGAAGGGGATGACGGTCTCTCATGGCAGTGAGGCATGGCAGTTAGCAACAAACATGGTGGCAAGAGGAAGAAGCAGGGAGGTCACAACTCCACCACAAACACAAAGCAGAGAGAGCAAACAGGAGAGCAGGGCTATGAACTCTCAAAGCCTTTCTCCTAGTGTTGTGCTTTCTTCAGCTAGGCTGAACCTCCCAAAGTCTCTTCCAACAGCATCACCAAGTGGGGACCAGCATACAAAGTTCGTGGGTGTTCTTATGGCATTATCATACCTGGCATTGTACTTTGTTCTGATCTGTTCCTCTCTCATTGCCCTTTCAAGTGTTCCTGTCTCTTCTCTGGCTATTTCATTTCCTCTCCCCAAATAGTCCTAGTTTATATTTTCATGTTTGTGTTCAGTTTTTCTGTAGGATGTAGATTTAAAAGTGAAGTTGCTGCACTAAAGGGTACTTACATTTGAAATGTTGATAGATTCTGTCTTGAAGAGGGTTTTAGGAATCTGTAAAATACCTATGGCTGTGTGTGTGTGTGTGTGTGTGTGTGTGTGTGTAAATGTGCATAATCTTGATTAACAATGCATATTGTCAAGTTTTTAAAATTGTGATTAATAGGTAAAAATTAATTTCTCCCTTAAATTGTTTGCTTAAAGATTGATGGGATCAAGCATATTTTTGTATGTCAATGTGAAACATAACTCTCACTTCAAAGGACATATGAGATAGTTTACTCTGAAGCCAAATATAAGTGACCATGGCCTGTGAGCACAGATTTGTTCATGTTACAACATGATAAAACTTAGATCAAGTTTTCATAGTACCAAAACTAGGAAAGTCATTAATCAAGAAATTCTCAAACACATTAGCAGAAACATTACGGAGGTGGGTTGAAACCTCTGTTATAGGCCTTAGTACTAATCTGATGGTATTCGTACTCTTAATGATTGGTGGAAACTAAGATTTTGTTAAGTTAAAGCATTCCACAAGATTTTATCTGTTAGTCACAGGATATTATGTGAGCAAGAAATGACTATTTATGGACCTAAATGTAGCCCTAAACAAACTTTAATTAGGCTCTGGACCTGCAACATTCCAACTTCTCTACAATCATTGAAGTCCAAGTCAATTAACCAGCCTTGCAGATTTAGTTGAAGTCACAATTACCTTTTGGGAACTTCCATTCATGTCTATAATAATAAACATGTATGTTTATCATTCTTAAACCTGATTTTAAGCTCATGTTTCACTGGTTTGCTTTTTTAATTTATAGAAGTTTTACAAACATTTTGAATATGATTTAACTATAACACTTTTGCAAAATAGACTATTAATATATTTTCTTTTTTTGTTTTATTCCAGAGGATTTTAAAGAAACATTTTCTTTATTTTTAAATTAATTTTTTATGTATATGGATATTTTGATGCAGTTATGTATTTGTAGCATTTATATTCCTGATATACATGGAGGTCGGAAGAGGGTGTTTGAGCCCTTGAAACTGGAGTTAAGGGAGTTGTAAGCTGCCATGTGGGTTCTGGGAACCAAACTCAGGTCCTCTGCAAAAGTAGTGTGTGCCCTTGACCTCTGAGCTATCTCTCTAGTTCCCATCATTTTAATTTTATTCCCTTGGTTAAAATGCCTTACTGGCTCTAAGTTTTAAAATCATCCATTTCCTCCTAGTATTTTAATGTTTTAAATTTTTTTATATTCAGTTCCACTTACTTGTTCATATTTGATGTGTTGAGGGCTATAAGTTTATTTTGTTCTACACAGATTTTGATTCATTGACTCATTAAATATATTGCTGACTCTTTGAAATGCCTCATGCAACATACTGGATCTTTACGGGTGCAGGGGCCTGCTTCTGTGTTTTATAGTGTGCTCCTTTGATCAGTTCATTCTGTTACTGTTGCACACATTTAATTATTGTCATTTGCAGTGTTGCATGATAACTGCTTGCTCCCAGTTACTTTTATTTTATAAAATGTTACCTCTATTGGGACAAACTTTTTGTTCTGAAATTGGTTTTTGTTTTTGTTATTTTTGAGATAGTGTCTATGTATCTTTGGCTGGATTGGAACTCACACAGATCAGCCTGCCTGTGTCTCACAGTTGCAAGGATTACAGATGTGTGTCACCATGTCCAGCCTTTTAAACCTTATAAGTTTTTTTATGGGTGTTCCAGTCCCTACATTTTAATGTAATCTTCTTGATAGCTCAAATAATTCTTCTGGGATTTCTATGAAATTTTATTGAATTTGATGTGGGAAAGTGACACATAGTATACATCTCCATTTATGTGGGTCTTCTCTTTGATTTATTGTACATATTCAATGTTTGCAACATAATATATAGGATACATATAAATAGTGAATGTTTACTTTAGTGAAGTGTGGCAATGCCATTATGATAAAAATATCTGTTATATTCTAAGAGATTGGAACTTTTCCTGGACTTTACAGCCAGAGTTAATAGTACACCTTAAGGTCCCTTAAGACTTAAGACTACTATCCTGCTATATACTCAGCCTGTTTGTTTAACATACTTTTAAGAGAACAATGAAACAAACAAACTTACCTACCTTGAATTTCCCGTGTAATCAACTTTGATAACCATGCCAATTCATAACTGTAATCTTAAATTATGTACTCCTGACTTGAGTAGTGTGTGTGTGTGCTATGATAATCATTTGCTAAAAACAGAACAAAGGCCAATAACAGACTTATAAAATGAATATCCACCATAAATGTTGAATAAAACATAGATATTGCTTGATAGCATTGATTTGTTTATTATTTGGGTCAGTTGGTGTCATTTTGAATTAGTGTCTTAATCCCTTATAAAACTCTGTTAGAGATTTTGTAAAGTATCCCTCATTCTTTACTCATGTGGCACTTTTTGTCCCATTTAAGAAATACACAGCAGAAGCACTTCATTAGAAATGATGGAAGACACAAGGAGAGCAAAGTAGAGAATTCAAATGTAGGCTTACTCTTGGTCAAATGACAACAGTGAGACGTGTTTTATTGATTTTGGCTCTTAATGCCACACTGATGAGTTATTGGTGACTCTGAGGTTATTATTGATGTGCTTAAGCTGATGTAATGAAGCAAATGAACAAATTTTTAAATTTAGTAGTAATCTCAGATATGCACATTTTTGTTACCTATAAACCCCAACTTGTACATTAGATCTCTAGACATATATCTGCTACTTTGGGTCCTCTGGCCTATATTTCATTTCTTGTCTACTTTCTCACTCCTAGGAACCATTGTTTTATATTTCTATATATTTAATCTTTTTACATTCTACATATAAGTACAATGATGCAATATTTTACTTTTTTACTTTATTTCATTTTGTACAATGCTTTTTAGGCTTATCCATGTTGAATCAAATATCAAGATCTCTTTCTTCTCTAAGATTGAATTATATTCCAGTGTCTATGCTATCTATCACAGTTTAACTTCCTAATTCATTCCTTCATCAATCCACAGATGCTTTGGTTATTTCCATATCTTGGCTATGTAAATGCCACTATAAGGAACATAGGATCACAGACTTCTTTACAGTGTGTTGGTTTCATTTCCTTCACAGAAGAGGGACTGGTGGGTCATATAGTAGTTCTACTTTTCATTTTTTTTAGAAGTCTTCACAGTGTTTCTCATGGTGACTACACTGACGTGCAGAGCACTGGCAGTTTACATTGCTTTCATTTCTTGACACTTTTGCCAGAACTTGCCTCATGCTATGATGGGTATAAAGTGGTATTTCATTGTAATATTGGTTTGCATTTTTCTGGTAATTAGTGAGGTTGAGCACCTTTTTGTATACCTGATGGCTGTTAGTCATTTTTAGAGGAATGCCTACTCAAGTCCCTTGGTTACCTTTGAAACTTTTTATTGTGTATGACTTTAAAAATAATTAAAAAATTTTCTATTAAAATGGCTTTAAAGCTCTGTTCTAATGTTGCTTGGACTCTAGTAATTGAGACATGTCCAGCACTTTTCTTCATATGCTCGGGAACAAATAGGTTATTTATTTATTTATTTATTTAGAATAGCAGCTGTTTTTAAAATACTCCCTGTCTCTGATTTTTAGACTCATATCAAATAGGTGAATAGGTAAAATTGTGTCCTCTAATACTTTATGTGTGACTTAATGTTTGAGTTTTCATGTGTTAGTATAACTTTTTTTCCTTCTGTCTACAGTGAGGTACAAGAGCCAAAGGAATCAGTACCACCTCCTAAAACCTCAGCAGCTGCTCAGCTGGATGAACTCATGGCCCACCTGAGTGAAATGCAGGCCAAGGTGGGTGCAGTATGGATGATAAAGTCTCTGGGTTCCAGAGAGGCACCAAGTTAGCATAATAGTAGTCAGTCCTTCATCCCTGCTTGGGAATTCTAAGTTGGTATTCATTTTCCTAGCTTACATTTAATTCAGTGGAGAAACTCATTTAGACATGAAAGATAACATGGTATAGGCCTTGATCTGGAGGAGGTTGGGTATTCTTGGTACAGCCAGTGATAAAACTCTGCAATGTTTTTAGAATAAAAGGATGGTGATTTTTCAAAATGAGTGGAGCAAACCCCAGGGATTTTGACAGGTTAAGCAGATTTTAATGGAGAAGTTGTGATGGGATTTAGGATGGACACTGAAGAATAGGAGAGGTATGGACACATATGATAAGAGTTGCAGACAGCCTTGATGGTAAAGACTGCACTAAAGGCATGACAATGCAGAAGGTCTATTAAAAACACGTACCTGAGCAGGATAAAGAGGCCAGTGGGCAGGCTGAGACACAGAGCAAGGGAGGCCAAAGTAGGAAGGATGAGTTCTGAGACCATGCCATGATAAACTTTTCTCTCTTTCTCTCTCTCTCTCTCTCTCTTTTTTTTTTTTTTTTTTTTTTTTTTTGTAGAGTGAAAATAGCAAACTCATGGTCCCTGGCAGAGAGCAAAATCCAGATCAGGAGTCTTAAGCATTTATCAAGGACATAGACTTAGAATTTCTTATACAGAGAATTCAACCTTTTAAAATATGGTTGGAAGTTAAGATGCATACTCATGAAATCAGTATGAATGTTTAAGGCAGACTGTTAAAATTTGTATGATAGAGGAGGGCAGGGGCCATATCAGCATGAGATTTCCAATATCCCACATAGTGCCTATCACACAGTGAGTAAGTAAACACATAGTTGTTGGAGGGACAGATGAAGAAATGTCACAGACAAGGTTCTCTGATCACTAGAGCTAACATCAACACTAAAGTTGAGTGAATTAACTTGTGCTTCATAGTTGATGATGCTAGAAAAACAATCATATTAGGAAATTTATGCTGTGTTTTCTTGTTAAAGTGTTTCTTGGTATATTTAAATTTTAACTTAAAGTGTGTGTTTTAAAACTAAATAATACATATACATTGCACAAAATCAAAAGTACAAATATGTTTACAGTAAATCATTTCCATATCATTTGTCTTGGATTGTCCCATTTTGCCCCCTGCAGGTCATCAGAATATACTGCATTTGACATATGTGTCCAGAAGTGTTTTGGAATATGCAAACAAAGAGATGTAGATGTAGAGAAAATATTGTTATTTTTTTACTTATTTTTCAAATATAAAATTAATAACAATTTTGGTACCTCCGGACATTAATCCTTTGGATAGATACCTCTTAAATACTAACTTCCATTATATAGAGGGGAGGAAAGAAATCTGTTTGAGGAGCAATTTTTTTGAAGGGAAATGAACATAATGAATAGTAAAATAGTGTGAGGTTATTATAGGCAGTGAAGACTCAATAACCAGAGGCCTGAAGGCAAATATTAGCAGAACCATTCAGGAGAACGTTGGGAGCCAGCCTGCTTCAACAAGAAGGCTTTTTTATTGTGAAATAGAAAATGAGATTGGAAGACAAACTGAGGATAGTGGATGTGAAACTGTGAATATTCATTTGGTGATTAAAAATTAAGGGGTAGGTATCGGGGACTATGGGGGTCCAGCCTCTCGATAGTCCCCTCCCAGGGTCCGGGAAGAATCTACAACCAGCTGATAATTAATCTTTAATGGGAAAAAATGAATCTATGTACACGAAACTCCTTAGTCCATATACTTTATTATTCTGTGACAGTTACAAGCTTATATTCTGCTCTCATATTTAGGTCATCTTTAGCCTGATTTCTTTCTACACTTGTCTGTGATCCCCTCTATGTTCTATCTTGATTCCTTCATATAGTTCTGTCCCTTCTAGGTTCTCATCCATCTTGTTCCTTCCCATATCATCTCTCTCCCATCTCCTTCTCTCTCATCTGGCTCTTCCTCATCTTCCATCTCGTTCCTCTAGTACTCTCCTGTAGCCTTTCAATCTACTTCTTCCCCATCTCAGTTTGTTCCTCTCAAGTTCTTACCCATCTAGTTCTTCCATTCTCTTCTCTCCTCTTCTGTCCTCTGCTTTACAGTTATATATCTCCCCAAAATCACAATCCTCCCCTCCACCCAGGACACT